TTGTCTTGTCTCTCGTGAAGTGAGGTGGCGAGGTGGACCTGGAGGCTGAAAGGGTCCCCCCTCCGCACCACGCAGTTGAGAGTGTCGTACTCATCGGTGTGGTGCACTGTCCCATTCTCCCCCTTCTGAAGGTCCACTGATTTGATCGAATCTAAAAGTGGTGGCACATAAACCAGCTACCATGTAAACCAGCCACAAAGAAAATACCCAACAATTTCAAAATATATCTGCAACAATTATTGAACTCAGGAAATCTTGCAAATTCTATTCAAATGGGACATTTGTTCGGCTGATTTTATATACTCTGCGCATTTTGTCAGGACTATTACTTGATTTTATCAACTAAATAGTTAAAACCTGCTGTAGGTCCATAACACAAAGTATTCAGATCTTCGCGGAAAACACTTTTGAACAGGAATGATTTAACTATTACTATAACTGTGTACCAATCTTTTACCATTCAATTTTTTTAGCACTAACCAAAAATAATAGTAAAAACATCTTGTTCAGAGGAGTCCAGGGGCGGATCTAAGACCATCAGGAAAAGAGCGGGTTTTCTGAATTTTTCCACCTTTTTAGGGCAATGAAATTGCGGCAAAAAAATACTCACAGAGGCGAAGCAGAGCTCCTTACCACTTGCGATACAACATAACCATGAAAGAGAAACAATACAGTCGAAAAAAAAAGAAAAATAGTATGACATACACGAAAAACTTTGGTTCACCTAACTTTTTTTCTGAAAAAAAAAAACAAAAGTCCTGCCGGGACTCGAGCCACCGCGTTACCTTCAAGTCAAGTGGGAAGAAGGAACATGGAAATAATTACACCCGAATACAATGGTCGGAACAACAACTTTTTTTTAAATAAACGTTTTCCTAATTGAAAGACGAAATTTTAGTTCATTGTTATGCAAATTTTTTCACGTCAATTTTATCAATCTAACTAAAATTCAAATATGAAGTTTTAATAGTAACCAAGATAGCACTATTTTTTTCACTTGAAAGTTTTCAACATACTCTAATGAAACACCCATTATGCTTTTCTCTCTTTTATTCTCCCCAAAAAATTAGAAAGAAAACTTGGAACTTTTTTTTGATTCAGCAGGACAAAAAATGAAGTGAAAGGTCAACTTTGAGCATTTTCTATGATGCTAAACCTCCGTCGCTAGGATATTTGAATAGAAATATTTGATGTTTCACAATAGTTAAATAACAGGAGCGAGATTATGATAAGAGAAGAGAGCCTTTTATTGCAGCGACTGTGTCTTGTTGGTTCACTTACTCTGCACAACGGCCACTTCCTCGGCCGAGTCGCTCTCAAGGTCGTCGGGGAATGAGGTCTCGGGTATGCGTCCTCTGACGTACCAGTTCCACCACCAGGGCACTCTCCCCCTCCTCCTCCTACCTCTGCTGCCCCCCTCTCCTCCCCTTCTACGACTGAAGTTGTCCGAGTAGTTGGGGTTGTACTCACTACGCTCTGGCAGCCCACTCACACCACCACCAGCAGCAGCAGCAGCTGTTCAAACAAGACACCTCATAACTTACTGTGCACATTTCACTTTATACCACATTTATAGTCGTTCGATGCGCAAAACAAAAAGTTTTGACCAGTCAAATTTTCCTAAATAGAGAAAAGTATAACCATTTTGTAAAAGTTTTGTGCTCTTTTGAAGGGTTAACTTCACGTTTAGAAGAAAAAAACCTTAGTTAATAGTTAAAGTAGGGGCGATCTAGGGTTTTCTCGAGGGGCGGATTTTCAAAAAATTGAAATTTGTCAACCTTTTTTTTGTCGACCGAATTGAATTTTTGAGCTCAGTCGATGTGCAATGTTTTGACCAAATTTTCCGCGCCGCAGGCAAAATTTTTTACAAAAACAGTCCAAAAAAGGCGTTTTTTGGAAAATTTTGACCCAAAAATTGCGTTTTTTCGGCGCGCGCTCCCCCCTCAAAATTAGTATATTTTGGCGCCAAAGGAGCCTTTAGAAAAATTTTAGGGTCGGTCGGCGAAAAATGGATTTCTTAAAAAGTACCAAAAGAGCGGACCTTTTGGGTCGGCAGGGGGTCGAATCCCTGAGAGAAAAAACATCCCTCCCCCCCCCCCCCCCCTAAATCCGCCCCTGAGTTATAGGTATTTATAGGTCTTAGTTGTATTACTTTATTTCTGCAGAAAAGTTGAGAAAGGGGAAGCCGACGACAGACATTGAGGAGGAAAATGAAGGAGAAGCGGGTTTGCGATACCACAAAAGACTCCTTCAGCTCAAGTGCACAGAAACAAAAGTAAGAAAGGGTATTGTGCCCGCTAAGACAAACTTCAACACAAATGATGGTTCAGAGGCAATCAATGATTGCAGTTGAAACAAAATCCATCTGATTTATTCAAAAATTCATCCAAATCTGCTGCAGTATCTAATTTACGGGGTCAAAATTTACCTGGTGCTTGAACCGACAATTTTGCGTTAAAAAACCGTTTCTCTTTGCTTTGTGGTATATGAGAACAAGTAGCATTTGTTATATCGCAATTTATTATCAGGGTGGGGGCTAAAACGTTTTTTATCCATTAATAATCCGTTTTGAACGTTAGCACGTGTTTTTATGTTTTTAATGTTTTGTTTTTGGCCCTATTTCTTCTATTTACCTGGAAAAAATTGCATGCAAAATTACTTATAAAAACTGGAAAAACTTGTTTTTTGTTTTGTTTTAAACTGTTTTTTACTCATTTGTTTTAAACAGTTTTAAACAAAGTCCTCACCCTGTTTTTTATATTAATGAGTTCAAAGATATTTATATTTTGTACATTTTGTGAACACCCAGTTATTCTATTACATAAATCCAGAACAAGTTTGGTGCTGATTACATAATCATCAACCATGCAGATTGTGAATGATGGTTGAATACAGTTGGCTTAGGAAGAGAATTGAGGTCGCTTTAGAAGAAGAGCGGCTATAGCGCATAGGTTACTTGGTTTGCATATCATATTCGGACTAGGGTTACAATGGGGAGGAACTTTGTATTCGGATGTGTTTTAGTCTTTTTTTCTTCTTTTTGTTTTCCACGCGAAATCAGCTACCACAAATAATCATCGGACAGGAATGAGTGATATATTATATTAAGGCTCTTTCAGTCGTGATTTGAACCACATTAAAAAAAATGTCCAAAAAACTTTCCCAGTGTTGTAAAAACCGGTTTGAAACTTTTGATTCTTTGTCCTAATTCGAGCGACTAAAGCAAGCGAGCAGTCTTTTTTGTTTTCTTTACAAAATCAGCTACCACAAATAATCATCGGACTGAGTTGAGTGATATACCATATTAAAGACTTCTCAGTCGCAATTCGAACGATATCAAAAAATTTCAAAAAATTTGCCCGGTGTCGAGAAAAAGGTGTGATTTTTCTCGACTTGCAATTCGAACGATATCAAAAAATTTCAAAAAAGTTTGCCAGGTGTCGAGAAAAAGGTGTGATTTTTCTCGGTTTGCCAGGTGTGATTTTTTGTCTGAATTCGAGCGAGTGAAAACGCTTACATTAGCTTATTTATGCTTAATTTAAGCCTTCAAAATTCAATTTTACTCAAATGAAGCTAGTTTTTGGAGTTTTTAGCTTCATCTTAGTAATAAACAACTTTTCTTGATTTTTAAACTTAAATTTAATTCTTTTTCTTGTTATTTGTCTTCTTAAATTATTTTCCAATTTGCATCGTTTACATGACTGACAAAAATGCCGGAGCTTAACTATTTCACTCAGATTCCTTTATGACAAGCCAAAAAAACGAAACTAATTGGAAAAACAATTTTACTGTAATTTTTTAAGGCTGGTCGGAACATACTGTGCTACTTGCACAGTAACCATTATCCTGGTTATTATTTTACCTTGATTTTTTCTGTTTTTATTGACAACGTTTGTGTTTCAAGAATCAGTTAATTCACGCGAAATTACTGATTCAGTACCCAAAAGCCGATCACAAGTTTACCACATTTTTCTATTCCCAGTCGGTTTCTGAGACTGGAATGGACAAATCCAATTTTACTCAAATGGACTGGAATGGACAAATCCGAAACTGCTGAAAAATTTTTCCAGTGAAAAGTATGCTAAGAGCAAATTACTTAATAAATGTTAAAAATGCACAGCTGAGTTGTGTGTTTACCGCCAAACTCGACAGGATAACGCAATAAGCAGTGCGGTTGGTTTTTTTATTCTTCGATTAAAATCGGATTTAAATCATTGATTTAAATCAAGTTGATTTTAATCATGCAACACTGATTCGGACCCCCCTAATTGTACCTAAATATGATAGAGCTCAAAATCTTATTTTACAGTGGGTTAAAAATTATCAGGGGGGCCCCACAACTTCGGACCAATTCTCATTACACAGAGGCAAAGCTGGGCTTCGCAAACGCTTGCGAGAACACGACCAAAAAGCAGCTCTATCAAATGACAAAGGAAAAAGTAGAAATAGGCCTCAAAGTTGCAAAAAAAATCGAGGCCTAGCAAAAACTCTAGTTAGCAAAAATCTGCGATCTAGCAAATTTGAGTCTCACGCACAAACTATTCAGCCACGGTTGCCTACGTATGTTATCAACAAGCTGTAAAGGTGCAACAAATTGCCAATCAATTTCTATTGCCAATTCTATGCAGCAAACATTGTTACTCTAAGTCTCAACATTATTTGCGATTTAGTCGCAACAAAAGCCGCAACAATATTTGTGACTTAGGTTGTTAAAAAAAGAAAGTTCGTACTATAACACTTTGCTTCGCAAGTGTAAACAACAACCCATAATGGCGCAAATATTTATTAGAAAATTTAACTGTCATAACTTTTAGCAATTTAATGCACACCGCAATGTTTTCGCGTTGTTTATGAAGTGTTTTGATATGGAGGTATGGTTTTGTGTGTGTGTATGTGGGGGGGGGGGTCCCGCCAATTAAGCACTGCACAGTATGACGAGATTAGGTCATACAATTTTTTCCCACGCAAAATCAGTCAACACTAAAACGTCGCGAAAGTGATACATTATTTCTATGCCGGTCAGTTTGTATCATTTCACCACACTTCTAGTGTGAACAATTGCTAGAATGGGGAGCTTTTCCTTCAATGCCGCCTTCCCTCTTCCCTGTAGAAAAACTCAAAAGGATATTTTTTAACTTTTTATTTTAAAAGAAAACATGTTCTGCATAATTTTCTAAATTAAATGATATTAGATTTTCCTGGGATGATTGCACGGCAATCGGCTATCGCTGCTTATAAATTGCGTTTCTGAAATTTCCTGTGGTTTTCAGAAGTTTTTAGGGTACTACTATGATAGAGTGGTCCCTCGAAAAAGCAACTATGATAGACGGGTCTCGTATGCATTTTGCATGTTATAATTTTGAAAACCAATTTGTGTATAAATTATTTATTTCAAAAATTTTGCAAAATATGTTCAGTCAATAACTTTTTAGACTAAAAATTGTAATTACTACATTGTTTATATATTGAAATTTGCTCGCTTAACTTTACTTTACGGCTTAAAAACCATAATTCGATTGACTTATTTGTCATCAAATTCCACTATTGACGTTTTTTTTAAATTTTTAACCTTATAATGGCGAGGGAGAGGTTTTAAGACGTAACAAATCATAAAATTTATTTGAAAATATACTGCGACATCTTTCTGAAAAGCGAGATCATAATTATTAACCGTTTGAGAGCTCTATATGTCTAATTCTCAAGGGACCTAGTTATTTTCAAGGGTCATCAAATTCCACTATTGGCGTTTTTTTTTAATTTTTAACCTTAAAATGGCGAGGGAGAGGTTTTTAGACGTAACAAATCATAAAATTTATTTGAAAACATACTGCGACATCTTTCTGAAAAGCGAGATCAAAATTATTAACCGTTTGAGAGCTCTATATGTCTAATTCTCAAGGGACCTAGTTATTTTCAAGGGACCACTCTATCATAGTAGTACCATTTTTAGATTACTAAATTTTTTGTTCCGACTTTCGATACGAAAGTAACGGAATATTTGTGCTCGGGGTGGGTTTTTTTTTTCTTCAGACAAATTTCGACTTTTTAATTAGCCATTTTTGACGGAATTTTCTTACATCATTCAAAAAGTATTGTTGTCCTGAGCTTAAACTTGAAAAGATATTTCACCTGTGATCAATTTTCGTAGAGTTATGAGGGTTTAAAGGTTGCCATTTTGACCAATTTGGGACAATAAACGCGCGATATAATTCGAGCTATTAACGCGTAAGCGAAGATTTAATCCGTCTTAGAAATCGTTCCAAATTGGTTGAAAGAAGCTTATTTGCCAGAATTGATTTGTTACAAGTAACGAAATATATCCTTTTGTACTTCATAAGGCGTGTGGGGGTATGATTTTCATTAAAAAAAATTCAAATTTTAGAAAAAAAAATGTCATTTTATTTTATTTCATTAATTTTTTTATGTTATTACTGCTTCATAAACCTTAAAAGTCAGTCGGAACATTCAGGTCTTCGCCCTGATACGAGCAGTCTTGTTTGAATTTAGGTAGAGTTATCGTTGTTAAGGTAGCTTTTAAGGAAAAATAGTAACCATTTCTATCTTATGTGATAAAAGAGAAACCTGGATGACAAACTCACCTTCAGATGGAGGCATAATGATTCAAGTTTAGATTGGTGATATATGAAAGTGATAACAGAATGAACTCGGCTTCGACATTTTCGAAATTTCTCGTTAGTTCTAGTCCGCTTAAACAGTGCTAATAACTATGCTGATGATGGTGAATTGACGACGCACTATTTCCATTTCTTCTAGACTTTGTTCGACTTTGTAGACTTTGTCTTATGACCCTATCTCCAAAGGACAAAGGAAAACTTAAAACCAAATTGCGATATAATTACTAATTCATGACAACACGCCAGTTGGCTCAAACTTTTATTCCCAAGTTGAAACGTTTACCTTCATGCTTTGTTTTTAGAATCTGTAAAATAGCCAGATTTCCTGCAAAAATCAATAAAGAGAATAAATGTCAAAATATTGACCAAAAGCTTATCCAATTTCATCAACCCACTTAGATTTAATATAAGAAGAACCCACTTCAGATCAGACAGAAAAACATAGTCTGATTTGATAACACATCGGACTTTCTTATTATAAAAAATCTTTTAAAATTAAAAAATCACATTTTTAACAGATTAATTAAAAAACAACAGAAAAGTTATTGGCGCATTCGCAAAGTTAACGAGAAATTCCGAACAAACGGTGTGAATTTTAGAACGTAAGACTATTGAACGCAGTTTGATGTTGAGATGATTAAATTGTACAACTAAACTACATAAATGTACAAATTAGGTGAAGAGACGCTTGTCTGGCTTAGCAAAGCACGTGTGAAAAACACAGAGCAGAGCTACCAAAATAGAAGAGAACAAGTGCCGCTAAATTAGTCCACGCCTTGAGCAACAATCTAGGGATTAATGTTTTTTTTTGGCAGGAAATTAAATTTTGGCTTCCGATCAACATTCTACATCACAAAAAATCAAGAATTGCAAAATTACGGTATCGCTGCATCGTTAGAAAATAGTCCTGGTCTCATATACACGCACAACTAATTGGAGTTGAAAAAAAACTCAAGAAAAACAAATTTTAGCATTTGTATTGTAGTCCCTCTGAGAACGGCTTTTTGAAATCTGCGTTTGTTCAGGCATGTATAACCCAAAAAACAAACAGGAAGAGGCAGCGAGATAAAAAATAAAAAGAGAAGAAAGTTAAGCGGCTGCTGTGAAGGGAGAAGGGGAAGGTTTTCAAGTATTCTAATTCGCTGATTCATCAGTCAAAATCATCGCCAATCGAGCGGTAAAATTTTTGGATTTTCCAGGTCTGAAACTTTGGATTTTTTCAAATTTGCTATTTGGCTGAAGGTTTAGCGCTAATTCATCGATGGCGACCTCTGTATTTACAAAGTTCCATCGCAAACATGCAATGCGAACGCAACCCGGGTAAAAAATAAAAAGAATCAATTTTCGGGAAAAAAACTTTTATTCATTATTTTTAAGCAGAAATGCTCCTTGTTTTAACACGAAAATCTTAAGGTGCTCGCAACACTTATTATTTGATTTGAAGCCAAGTAAAAACACTATAATAAAACTTAAAAGACTGTGAAAACAAAATAAAACTCTGAGAATTAATGCACTTGGAAAAAATAGAAATGTTAAAATATTGCAAGAACCAAAAAATGCAATTCTCAAAAAATTTGTGAGCTATCAAAAAAAAAATCGGTTGTAAAATTAAACTCAGTCAATTTTCTAATTGATTACTGAGCAATTTATTTATCTCTGACGCAAAGCTGCACTTCGCAAACAAAAGCGAAAAAACTGTACAAAGTACCTCTGAAAAAGTCAGTAAAAGAAATAAGAAAACGAAATACGAGTTTAATACGCAGGAATCGAACCATTGCAGAAAACTGGACCGATATGTATACCTTTTATTTCGCAGGAAATCTGCTGATTTAACTCCATTTTTGAAATAAGAAGTCAATCACCTTTTTCGTGACCTTTACCCTTTTGCTATTTGATGGTGGAAATTGCCTTCCTTTTAACAAATCAAATGAATTGAACTTAAGAAAAGTCAAACCGCGAAAAAGTAAATTTGAGACTAAACAAAAAAAAAAAATCACGATGACCTATATGAGTCAGAACTATATTCCTCGACTCTTCAAAACTGATGACCTTAATCGACGAGTTTCTCTAGGGGTCAACTCTCTAAAAACAGCAATAGAGTTAGCGATGTACTTGTCTTGAAAATTTAAAAAAAAATTAGAAAAAATTTGAAAAGTAGGCCGACAAAAAATCAGGACCTATTTAAGAGCCTTCTTTCCGTTCATTGATTCTCAAAAACAGCCATTGAAATGGCGTAGATAGACCGAAAAAAAAAGACATCCGACAATTATTATTCTCAGTATTCTAAATTGTTTTAGAGGGAATACATTAGCCCATTTTCAACAAGAAGGAATAGCATTTTGTAAACCAAATTTTAAAAGATTTCGTCTCAGTATAACCATGCAAAAAGCTTGTTGTATCAGACAGCTAAAAAAAGGATTATTTAGCTCAAGGAACAATAAAAAAAAGCAAGTTTTTTTCATGTTTCATTTCGCAGAAAAAAAACACTTATTGCACTCGAACGAAAGAATCCCAACTCATAATGAAATGAACATGAAATTTTTGACGTTCAAAAATTGTCCATTAGCTGAAACCTTGCCAAATAGAAGGTTTTAAGACTATACTGAGCTCAGAATAGAAAACAAACATTTTCTTTAACTTTGGCCTTCGGAAAAGATGACATTACGCCAAAACTGATTGAATTTAAAAACTACAATCAAAAATTTGAAAATTGTGTTGACCCTATTTGAATAAACGTGTTAACAAGTGCTTAAAATACCACAAAAATTTAATATACAGTCGTGTTCTCTCAAGTTGTTACACTTTTGCGACAAAAAAAACACCATGTACATAAACAAATACTTAAATTGATCGTCTTGTGTTAAAGATAGAATAACGGAACAAAAAACATCGAAAAGGTCTAATACTTGGTTATTTCACCCCTCATCTTCAATAATTCAGCCATGCGCCGAGGCAAGGAATCATACATTTTGTTAATGGCATCTTGAGTAATCAGATTCCAGCGTTTTTCTATTTCTTCATACAACTTTCTACAACGAAGTTTGTTATATTTCCTGATAATCATTAGCTTTTTCTGGACAACTTTTGACGCGCCAAGCAGTTTTATTTGTTTGAATACAAAGGATATACACCTTTTCTTGTCCTGACCTTGATTAAAATGTCCTGTGATCTCTCGAACTGATCCATTTCGGTATTTCTTGATGAGTCGTCGAAGCCGATTTTCGTCGCGAAGGGTAAAACTTTTCTTCTTAATTTTTTCTGCAGCTGATCCCTCTGCTTCATACAATTTGAGGATTCTGTGCACAGACATACGAGAAATCCCTAAGGCATTGGCAATGTGGCTTTGCTTCTGGCCATTTTCTTTCAGCTGTATAATCCGATTTCTTAACAGAATTGGGGTTTCCGGTGCCATCAGAAAATAATACAATAAATATTCACACCATTGTGAACAAACATTGTGAACAAACGTTCACGCCGGACATACTATCGTGTGAAAATGCAAGTGTAATCTACTTGCCAAGAATCACGACGTTGGGTTAATTTAATCAAAAGATATAGCCCATTGAATGCATTAAACTTGGTTGAAAATATGAACAAAAAAACAAAGTGTAACAACTTTAGAGAACACGACTGTACAGAGGCGAGCGAGAAAGCGGCCAAGATTTAGGAGCTTCAAAATGCACAAAAACTCAATTTTTACATGTAATAATTTGGAATGTAGTTAGCTAAGGCAACCACACTAACATTGCATGTAATAAAGTAGAATGTATTGAACCAAATTGCGTATAAATCATGCATTTCAAAAATTCTCGCGAAATATTTCGAGTTGGTAATTTTCTGAAATGGGATTCAAATTATTATATTGCTGTATGAAACAAATAGCTTTTTTTCGGTTCAACTGATGTATTAGAATAGCATCAACTGTTTTGTGTAAGCTTCTAATCAAATGTCAATACACTTGGCATTATAATGCTTATGTACCCTATTTATTCAACATAGGCGCTACGCGCAATACACCGAAGGCATAGAAACTGAAGCAAAAACCAAACAACTTGAACAACTAATAATTGAAGAATAACAGTTCTAGAACAAAAAATCGTACTAATACATGTATACACCAAAATTTTGCTATATCGAGAAAGAGCCTGAAATAACAGTTCTAGAACTAAAAATCGTACTAACACATGTATAGGTTAAATTTTTGATATATTGACAAAGATCATGAAATAACAGTTCGAGAGCTAAAAATCGTACGAACACATGTATACACCAAAATTTTGCTATATTGGCAAAGATCATGAAATAACAGTTCGAGAGCTAAAAATCGTACTAACACATGTATACGTCAAATTTTTGCTATATTGACAAAGATCATGAAATAACAGTTCGAGAGCTAAAAATTGTACTAACACATGTATACGTCAAATTTTTGCTATATTGACAAAGATCATGAAATAACAGTTCGAGAGCTAAAAATCGTACTAACACATGTATACGTCAAATTTTTGCTATATTGACAAAGATCATGGAATAACAGTTCTAGAGCTAAAAATCGTACTAACACATGTATACACCAAAATTTTGCTATATTGACAAAGATCATGGAATAACAGTTCGAGAACTAAAACAACAAATAAACAAAACACACCTGATAAATAAATAAGCAATAAAAAAATAAATCAATACATAAATAAATACATAAATAAATAAATAAATAAATAAATAAATAAAAAAAAGCAAAAGTGAAATGTACAAATAATTAAATAGACATGAAAAAAAAATATATGAACAAATAACCAAACAAACAGACCCATAATATAAATAAATGAAAATAAATAAATTAAATAAATACACACGCAGAAATAATAAAAGCAAAACTAAATGAAAGAAAGAATAATTAAATAAATAAACAAAACACGTGATAAAAATAAACAAAAATAAATATGTACATACATAAATTATGAATAAATATAAGCAAACTAAACATAATTAAATAAATAGAAGAACAGATAATTAAATAAATAAAGATGAACAAATAAAGAAACAAACATACGCAATCACGTGACATAGCGCGATATAGTCCAGCCCACATGATAATTGATAACTGTGGACGTTATTTGTCGACACTTGACAACAGACAACATTTAAAAAAAACCCCCGTTACACGATACCATAACACCTTGACTAAAGTCTTCGGTGTAAAAAGTGCCATCAAAAGTAGCTGTTTTCTTTGCGTCTTCGGTTGGGGAAAAAAAGTTGCATCTTACCATCTTCTTGTGTAATAATACTTCCAAACAACAAAGGCTTTTAATATCTCTATCTCTGTATTGGCGATAGGCTTACTTTCAAACCTCAGATAAAATGTTTCCAAAACAGACTTAAGTACTTCTCAATCAAATCTGCTACTACGATATTATGATTCCCATTTTAAATCTTAATTTCATTTTGGAATTCTAGAATATGGTTGCGCATTTAAAACTGATTCACACAGAAAAAAAACCGTGACTTAATTTCCAAAACATGGATTGAAAAATCATGATAAAACAATGAATTCTAAATGTATGAATCAACAAGTTGAAAACAACAAATCAGCAACAACAACAATAAGTCAAGTTTCAGAGGTGAAATTCACGCGTTTCAGCAATATTTTCTCCATCTTCAATAGCTTTCTACCTTTTAAGGAGAGCTGAACTTTCTTGCAGATCCTTTCTGAGCAGTCGGAGAAGAAACCTGATGCTTGGAAGGGACGGTAGGGGGTCGCAAAGTATTGGCATTTGAATCAGGACTAAGGTCTTCTTGATCATCATCTTCGCTACTGTTCACGTTGTTATCTATGGGACCATTTTGGCACTCTTCATCAGACGAGTAGAGAGGAGAGCTGACGAGCATCTCTTCGTGAGTAGACTGTTCCAGCAAGGTCACGTGTGAGTCGCCTTCCACAAAAGAGGCCATTCTGAAATCAACCAGAGATTGTTCAATTAACTTGTCCCACTCATAATCACTGTTTACTCAGAGATTGCCCTTCTCCAGAATGACATCTCTTTAACTAATGAAATGTTAAAGAATACTAAAGCCGTGTTTTTTGAATGAACGTTGAGAAGCGATAAAATTGAGGCTTTCAATTGTATGTTGCTAAGTCTGAAAAACAGCTGTCGCCTATAATCTCGTTGAAATCATGAAGTTTTTTTTCTTGTTACTTGTTAATAGGCACTACCTGTCGGGGTGGTTTAGTTTGCGCACCAGTTTCCATGGCTGCGCCTCCTGTTGCATGCAATAGAGGCGCAGCTCCTCCAACGCCTTCGCAGTCTCCCGCTGTCCCTCCAGTTCGAACTCCTCCACCGTCAGCAGTCTCTTCTTGGGCGGGAACCTTGTGTACCTAAATATGCAAAATAACTACTGGCTCTCCTAAACGCTATTTTTTTTGCCCCAGGGTCCTAACTTTACTTAAAATTAGGGACACTATTTGCAGTCAAGTAGCGCACGATTTTGAACATTTTCGTGATTTTGCGCCATTTCAATTAACTCAACAAAAAACCCAAGAAAGAAATCAGAAATACACATAGAGGCAAAGCGGAGCCACGAACTACTTTCGATACAATATCAACCATCGCATGGCAGCTAGCATAATGAAACAGAAAGTCAAAAAAACACCACCTGAATATCATCCCAAATATTCAGGTGGTGCTGAATATCATCCCAAAAACAAAAAAAAACAAAGAACTAATCTGACAAAAAAGCAGACATGATAGTCCAAAATTGCTATTGAGAATATTCCAAGGCATAAAAAGGCAATTCCGGTCCAGAATCGAACAACAGGTCTTTGTCTTACAAAGCAAGGTCGTTACTTCTAGACTAAATAAGCCGAAGAAGTCATTGGATTTGAATCAAATATAAACACAGAGGCGATGCTTCATTCGCAAAAACTTGCGGGATAACGGCAAAAAGCAGCTCTATAAAGTTCAAAAAAATAATAGGAAATAAACCTCGAGCAAAAATTCGGTTCCTTTTGAGATTCGAACCTGCGACCTGGAGATAAAGAGTCTCGCACACTAACCACTCAGCCACGGAAGCTTAATATACGCCAAACAATAGCCACAACAAAAGCAGAGAACAGATGCTATGCAATTTCCAATGCTACAGTGAAAATTCAAAATTAGTGAACTTTTAATGAATACTTTTGTTTACGAGTTAGGTTAGAAACTAAGCTGATCGCAGGTGTAAAGAAGGTACCTGGAAAATCTATGTTTCGATTTGATAACGCTTGCTAATCGCAAGCGCGACTATCGTATTGAAAGTGAATTACAATAAACTGCACTCTTTAATCCTTTCCGATACACTCCAAATTCCTTCGTACAAAAAAACGTCAGGTCAAAACGGAAAAAATATATAAATGTTTTCGAGAATCTTATGAACAATTCAGCAAAATATGACCTAAAACACTGAATTTCAGAAAACTTTAATACTTCACTTTTTTAAATAAAAACAATTTATTTAGAAAACTAGAATCAAAAGTAAAAATTTCATTCCCATGAGAAATCTAGACACTAAAATCAGTTTTGAAACCAAGAGTCATTTTTTGATAATAATCTTCTATTTAGCGAATGATTTTGAAATGAACGTGGAAATAAATCAAAGGTCAACCGCGATAAATTAAATTTGAGCATGAACAATTTTTTCCAGTTAAATTTAGAAAATCAAAACTAATCTAAGAACAGGCCCGCAACACGGCTAATTTAGCGTTTAAATAACAAGATCCTTGGTTGATTTTTCTCTTTGAAAACAAAATTTGTAAAGACTTACTTAAAGTGGTGCAACTGAATGTTCGAACGTTCGTTCGAGGCAGAAGCTTCGAAGGCTCTAGCGATCATTCAGTGCTGGACACGTTGCACTACTGGAAACGTTGTTTCCAAGAAAAGAGCAACACTTACAGAAAATCTTGTGAACATGGAAAATTTTCAATTAAAATTGATCTTTTCGAACGAATGTTGCACCAGTATGTACTTACCACTTCAGTCTGAGATAAGCTAGTCCCGGCAGTGCCCCTCTTCTCAGTGCCCCTTCTCGCCCTATTCGGCCTCCTCCTCCTCCTCTTGGCAATAGGTCGGGAAGTGGGATGTAGTTTCTGGCCAGTAGAATGAGCATAAGGGAGAAACTGAGAGACTCCAGCTGCACACTGTAGTAGATGCCCCCGAAACACACAGCCTACAATATCACAGATCATATAATTTTACTCCACATCATGACATCAGTTCATCTAGGGTAGATTTACGGGGTGGCCACGGACCCGACCCCCCCCCCCCCCCCCATATCATGGATTCGACCCATTGACCCCAATGATTAGTTTTTGTTTTTTACCCCTCAATTAAGAATTAATTGATGACACGGGCGCCTTTAGAAAAACATCAGGGTTCGTTCGCCGCAAATGGATGTCATAGACAGTATTTGAAGATTACGCCCTCAAATACTATTTATGACATCCATTTGCGGCCGACCAACCCTAAACTTCTTCAAAGGCGCCAGCGTGCCACCAATTATTTTCAAATTGAGGGGGAAGCGTGCCAAAAAATGCCTACATCCAGCCCCGCCCCGCCGCTTGAAAAAACCCTGGATCCGCCCCAGATTCAATTGTAATTGTGACTATTGCAGTTTCTACGCAGAATAAATTCCCGGCTTTTTGTTCTGTTTTAAAACTTTCTGGTAAATTAAACTCTGATCTACAGCTACCGGGGATGTTTTGGCATAGCGGCAAAGCAAAACAAATGGCAAATCGAAGCTTATAGTGTTTACATATCATGTAATGGTAAATGCCATGTAACCGTGCCGAGGGGGGGGGGGGAGGGGTTGACCACTCCCCCACCCTCAATTCTTGTTACCAAATTTTTCCAAAGAGTCCCCGCTTTGGTATAACTTTACAACATTCATTTATGGCTGACCAACATCAAAAATTTCCTAAAAGCGCTTTCGTCGGCTCCAATATATTTAAATTTGAGGGGCTAGCGCGCGCCGAAAAAACGCAATTTTCTGGTCAAATATTATTAGAAGGCCCAAAACGTCATTTCTAGACTGTTTTTTTTTTCAAAATTTTGTCTGCGGCGAAGAAAAATTTTGACAAATAAAGTCCTTTTAGTGTTTTTTGGAGAGCTCGGAAAGTCAAATTGGTCGACCAAGAAAAAAATGTCAAATTTTTTTCGACAAACCGCCCCCTCCTGGAAAAATTTCTGCACACGCCACTGCATTTAGCTCATAAGAGTTGTTAAAACGCATGTTCAGGGACTGATTTCCAAAAAAAACTTGAAAAGTTTATCGACCAATCATTAAAGTCGACCAAAACTATATTCGGAGCGCTCCCGTTTTTGGACCTTTTTTGAAAAATTTTGATCAAAAAAATTGCGATTTTTTGGCGCGCGCTCACCTTTAAAATTAGTATATAATGGGGTCGAAGGCGCCCCTAGAACATTTTAGGGCTGGTCAGCCGGAAATGGATGCCATAAAATCATACTAAAGGGTGACCCATTGGTCGGTGGGGGGTCGAATCCCTGAGATGGAGGGGGCCTCTGCCCCCCCCCTCCCCCTTCATCAACCCCTGCACATGCTAAAGTGCCAAAAAATTAAATTGAACACAAAAGTTGGGCATATGCTTGAAAAATGAACTCGTATTATAACAGCAGTGTTTGCTTGTAAAAATATGAGTAAAACAGGAACAGCTTTCCAGATACACGATTGGATAAAATATATTTTTGGTTTAAATCTGATGGTTCAAACCTGAGGGCAATGATTCACTGATTTTTATGCAAATGATTGGAGTCGATTTTTGCTCAGTATTTTGTTGAATAAGATTAGGCTTGCTAAATAGATCAGCAAGCTTAATTTACTTTTAATGTTCCAATCGAGTATCTGGAAAGTCTTCTGTGCTTTCTCTGCGCGAGTCAATTGAAGCATGTTAAAAAACTTCTATAAAATATCTTAATTAACGCTTCCATTGGAAACCATGAGACGTGACTGCCGCATTTTCTCGAATCAGTAAAAACTCCCAAAAAGTGCTAAAGAACGACATTTTTGACCGGTCATTGAACCTTCCTCCACCGCACCTAAAATTTATTTTTTCAAGTAACTCGGGAGAACTCTGAAAAATAATTTATAGTAGACTTCAAAGACGACACCCCCCCCCCCCCCCCCACCTTGAGAAAATACTGAGTCTACGCAGAATTTACTCATTTCAACTCAAGCCAGAACAGAATTGCCAGCAAAGTTTAGAAACCATTTTTAAGCCAGATGGAAATTTGGAAGACACCACTCTTATTCGACAAAAAGCGGTGAGCAAAATTGGCCAAAGTTTAAAACATACGTACCCTCAAACTATAACAGATGAGCTGTTGGGCCCGTGGGTTTGTGATTGGCCCGTAGTAGTAGGTGCCGGCAAAGGAAATAGCCCCTGCCACGCCCATGTAGCACAATAGATAGGGAAGGAGGAGGGTGAGGTCGTTGGTGATGATTCTGACCAGGTAGGCAGTGAGAGACCAGCCGGTGAAATAGAGCAGACCTGACATTGCCTTCTAAACAACATCGCCGCCGCATTACTACTCATGCCAGTGAGCTTCAAACCATGTGCTGAATTTGACCGGACAAATCCTAGTCGTCGTTACCTTATCACCAAACACTACTTTAGCACAGTACATTTTTTACACAGGCGAAGCAGAGCACAGAAATAGCATGAAAAAATAGCAGACAAAAATTGAGACGAAAGCTGCTAACAAGAGAAAAGTTTTCGAAGAAGTCAAGAAAACTAGATCTACCAACAAAAGTTTCATATCTTTGTCACCATTTGTCTTACATAAAGTTCACTTTTATTTAAAAAAACTTGCCACACAAGAGAATTGAAAGTTAAACTTGCATCGAAACAAAACTTACTTAGCGGCAACTAAGTCGACAGGTTTTGAGCAGACACCCGTTGAGCAAAAACTGTTTTCGTGAAAAAGTGAAAATTTTCAAATAAGAACCCCTTCAAAAAAAAACCAGAAGCATAGGATAAGTGTTTCGCTAATCCAACGACGCAATATGTTGCCACTAAGCCGATTAGTGATAACCCGAAATTAGAAATTATTTCGAAATTATTAGAAATGACATACGATAGCCCGAAAAAAAACAAAAAAAAAGACATACGATAGCCCGAAAAAGCTGCAAATTTCTAGTTTGCAAAAAACGCTCGACAGCTGATGGAAAGCAAAATATGCGCTAAATAGCTGATTGACTTTGAATTTATAAAAAAGCAAGTTGAAAAGCAAGTTTAACTTTGACATGCGAAATCTTGTGAACAAAAATGGTTACGGCTGCTTAACGCAATGGTAATAATTGTGGTTCGCTTATTAAGCAACTCGAACCTTCCTTCTACAAATTTGACCATTGGGAAAGTGTATTACCCTGTTGCAATAATATTAGAAGTACTTCACACATTTCAACACTCGCGAAGTTCATTCATCTCGGAGAGAGCATGCCGAGCTCGCCCCATAAATCGGGCTAACAATAGAAACTTTTCCCTTTGAACCGAAATCTAGTAGACAGGAAAGGAAGAAACTTTTTAAATCTAGAACAAAAAGCACAAGGCTTCAAAATATGCGAAAAATAAACAGCCAACATACAGCTGATTAAATATTAATGAACTCAAAGAAACCGAAGAAAAAAAACGATTGACTTTTTTATGCAAATTTTCAAAATTAGGGGAAAACATTGTTTCGTGAAATCACTTTTGAATTTCAATTACATTTCATGACTGACACTGTTCTTTCATAAAACTAACCCATTTAGAGACAACTAGGAAAACAGATTATTTTCAAATCCGTCCATTTTAGAACTACAAGTCATTCAAGTTTTTTCGCGTAAATTTCATTGTTGCTACCGAAGAGCGTAATTTGCCTTTCTTTTTCCAAATAAATTTGAATTAAACTGGAAAAAAAATCAGAAGTCAAACCGCAAAAATCTAAATTGAGAGCAAACAAATTTTTCCTTAAAAAACCCTATAAAGGGTTATGATTAAACACTTGATCCATCAACACTTAATAAGCTTTTTGCTTTTCGTTTTGTATTCCGTCATATGACATTGCCTTCAAGTCATGAAATTGTGCCAAGTATGCTGCTGGTTGATATGAGTCGCAAAAATGTTTAGATAGTTTCGCTTCGAATTTCAGCAGGAGAAACCGTCTTAGACTGAACTGTGCGTACCTTCCCAGGAATAAGTTTGGCGAGGAGGTATGCCAGGACGAGGAGGAATCCAAAAACTCCCACCAGAGTCCCACTGGAGTAATGCACTTTCGTACTTCTAAACAGAACAGAACGATTTTCAACAGACAGTTGGAAGAGTCCCTGCACACAAAGAAAACAAAACTTCAATTTTCAAATATCAGAGAACTTGCATATTTCAAAGTGAAAAAAATATATTTTTTCAAAGCTCAGCCAGAGGCGTTAACGCAGAGGCGTGGCTGAGCTTCGCACCACCTGCGATACAAAACAAGAAAAACTGAATAAAATTAAAAAGGTAGAAAAAACTAGAGCTATCAAAATGAATAAGGCTAGTTTGAAACGAAAACATGCCAAGACAATAGAAGTTGGAAAAAAACATCAGACGATAATGTACCCAACGGTACCAAAGCCGAAAATACCTTTTCAGAAACACTTTAAGCCAAAAAAAATCTACAAGACACCTTTCATAGAGACAGGCGACTCATTCTGAAAAATCAACCTCACCCACAACACACTCAAAAACTTTATTTACTCGTCAAATGAAAATCATGAAGCCACTACGCCGATGTAAAATTGACCAAAACCTATGAAGCCTAAAAATGAAATTAAAAAAAGTCGAAAGAGAAAAAAAAGAAAAAAGAGGCTATAAGAGGCCGATAAGGCAATATAATATAAGCCAAAACCTATCAAGCCGAAAAACAGGAAAAAGGCAGAAAAAACGTTATCATGAAAAACTTGAAATATTATTCTCAAGTTCATTAAAATTACAACCAGCAGAGGTAAATCAGAACACTTAAACCAACTATAAGGTAAAAAAAAACATTTCTAAAAAATGGCAACTATTCCGACAAAACATGAGCAGACTATAATAAGCCGACAATTTTTTGAAACCGACTATTTCCAGTTTCGAAAAAATCCTGTCAGATTCGAGCACAGTTCGACGTCTTGCAGCAACGACAAAATTCTAATTAAACCGCCATTTAAATTGCAGACATTCTCGAAACATCTGTTTTCGGGCATTCCATCAGAACAGACATGCCAACTGGTTCAACTAATTTTGGCAAACTAGCTGTTACACCGAAAAAAGTCTATCTTCCGATTTGATAACGCTTGCTAATCGCAAGCGTAAAGACAATTAATGATTGACACTTTTTGATTGAAATTGAACTAATTTGAGAAAAGTGCATCAATATGTAAACCTTTTATTACGCTAGGAAATCTGAAATTTAAAATCCATATTAAAAACTTTAAATTTATGCTGTTCGATTGTAGAGTTTGTCTTCCTTTTAACAAAAGGAATGAACTGAACTTAAGAAGAATTGAACAATCAAACAGCAAAAAATCACAAATGAGCATCAACAAACTTTACTTTTCCTAGAAAATCAAAAAAAAAAATAAACACGACCAATATTGTCATTTCTAATATTTCCCGTAAGCTTCGAAATATTTCCAAATAGCGTCCAGTCATTCTTCAACACACTAATTATTCCTTGAAGCACATTCAAAAAATTTAAACCATGCGATGGAATCATTTGTCAAAAACCGAGCTTTATTTCTGTCATACATTTTCGCTTTCTTGTGACTGAGAGACGACTGGGAAAAAAATCTTACCTGGAATTGTACATCACATTTTTTTTTCGAAAAAAGCAAGATTTTTTGGAGCTCCATTACCTGCAGTACAACACGAACAGATCAAAATAAATCAAATTATAGTAGAAATTGCTTCAATTGCAGAAAAACTCCGATATGTGGCTACTAGGCCGACAAAAATCAAGAAGCCTAATGACAGGCCGACAGTTTTTCTCTCAAGGAAATCTGTCAACTTCAAAAAACAAAAATACTGTTCCGACTTAATGGAGCTTGCTCATTGCAAGCGTGCGACACAGTACATGCTGAGCTTTGCAAAACAAGCAATAAAACACCAAAAATTACCTTTAAAAAGGTTTTTAAGAAAAAAGTGAAAACAGGAAAGGAAAATTAAGAACAAGCCTTGAAAAATAAATTTTTGGTTTGTGTAAGAATTTAATCCCCGTACTGGAAAACGAGAACCTCGAAACTTCCCATTATCGATAACTAGCAAACATAGCCAACTGAAAGTTCGAAACGAGTAATTAGCGCAAGGAAACTGAAAAAAAAAACGACTTGCTTTTTTTTTTTAAAAAATCTTCAACTTTCGAATCGCCAAGAAAAAATAGGTGGCCTTCAAGCTCTTTGAATTTGTAAAAAAAAATTTATGGTGGACACTTTTACGTTAAAAAAAGTTTGAGAAAAATGGATCAAATGTAAAACTTTCATTTCGTTGGGAAATCTGATAATTAATTTCTATTTTCGAAATGTTAACACTTTTGGTGTTCGATAGTGAAGTTTGACTTCCTTTATCAATAGAAATGCACAAAACTTAAAATGAAATCACAAATCAAACCGATAAAAATCAAAATTGAGCGTGAACAAATTTTAAGACTTTTTCCTGAAAAAAAAATCAGCAAGACATATATTAGAGCACTCACTACGTTCATTACTATCAATCAGTGGCCACCAATAACGAAAAGTCAACATGGGTTATTAAATTTTCAATATCATACACCAAGGGACTAGCAATTGGGCACAACTCTTTCCAAATTGTGTTGGAAAAAGTACATTCAAATTATAGCTCCACGCTCGCTAGCTTGCTCTTGTAAATGACTAGCAAGCCCTTTGAACCAAAAAAATGAACGTCAAATTGATTAAAAATTGAAATCTGTATTAAGTCGCTTGGAAAAATTTTATATTGGTTTTAATATATTAATTCGATTGGCGATGAAAAAAAAAGATGTCTAGATAAGCTCCAGTAATGAAACAATGAAAATGTTTAGCTGAGCTTTAATAACACTAAGTATTTCGAAATTAAAAGAAATTATAGCTGTGCTCGATTTGCAAAAAGATTGTTTCAAACGTTGTTCCAGCAAAGAAACTTTCGAGAAAAAAAAATATATTAATTTGGATAACTTTGATCAATTCATTGAAAATTACTTCGAAAATCTTTAAACAAAATAATTTTCATTAACTTCAATAACTTTCATTTCGTTGGGAAATCTGATAATTAATTTCTATTTTCGAAATGTTAACACTTTTGGTGTTCGATAGTGAAGTTTGACTTCCTTTATCAATAGAAATGCACAAAACTTAAAATGAAATCACAAATCAAACCGATAAAAATCAAAATTGAGCGTGAACAAATTTTAAGACTTTTTCCTGAAAAAAAAAATCAGCAAGACATATATTAGAGCACTCACTACGTTCATTACTATCAATCAGTGGCCACCAATAACGAAAAGTCAACATGGGTTATTAAATTTTCAATACCATACACCAAGGGACTAGCAATTGGGCACAACTCTTTCCAAATTGTGTTGGAAAAAGTACATTCAAATTATAGCTCCATGCTCGCTAGCTTGCTCTTGTAAATGACTAGCAAGCCCTTTGAACCAAAAAAATGAACGTCAAATTGATTAAAAATTGAAATCTGTATTGAGTCGCTTTGAAAAATTTTATATTGGTTTTAATATATTAATTCGATTGGCGATGAAAAAAAAAGATGTCTAGATAAGCTCCAGTAATGAAACAATGAAAATGTTTAGCTGAGCTTTAATAACACTAAGTATTTCGAAATTAAAAGAAATTATAGCTGTGCTCGATTTGCAAAAAGATTGTTTCAAACGTTGTTCCAGCAAAGAAACTTTCGAAAAAAAAATATATTAATTTGGATAACTTTGATCAATTCATTGAAAATTACTTTGAAAATCTTAAAACAAAATAATTGTTATTTTTAAGTTTAAAACAACAAGTGCAATAAAAAAATTTACCCAAGCAAATTACTCGAGCGACAGAAAAACTATACAGTTCGTAAAGTGTCTTGAAAGATTAATTGCCTCGCAATACTTTGGTTGAGTACAATGGTTGAAGCTTCAAAACAAATCCGACCGACTCATAGCCTGACTTAATGCACAAAGAAAGATGGCTTTATAGACAAGCTATTTACGCCATAAAATGCTACGTTTTCTTGTTTGTTTTGATAGCTTGGGATGTATCGCGAGATATTGTAAAACGTTTTGACTGCTTGAAAATCTGCACCATAACTTGAAGTGTTTCAACAAGCTAATCAAGCAAAAAACTTGAAAACTTTTCATATTCCTATGATCGCTTGATACGCTAAGCACAAAGAAAACCTATTGACTTGATGAACATTATAAACCTTTCAAGTTCAGTTATAGCTTTAAGCGCTGCGCAAAATATCGAAAGTTTTTAGCAAACATTCCAAGCGACGAAACTTAGCTTTTCTCAGCGAATTATTAATTATTTAACCGATAAAACTTTGGAAGATTTCAATTCTCAGAAAGACTCCAAATTTTTATAACTTAAATCGCCTTGCGAAAAACTCGATTTTGAAAACAAGCGCTGATACTTCGAATTAGTCATAGTTTTTTATAGCAGAAAGACTATGGTTTTTCTTTGCAAGCTCAACGAGCGGTAACATTTGAAAACAGTTCAAATCATTTCAAAACGAGAAATATTTAAAATAAAAAATTCTACGCAAGCTATTCAACCTAAGAAAGCCAAAATACTTCACTTAATATCATAGCTTAAATCGGTAACTTAAACTACTGTAAGCAAACTGATCAAGCGACGAACTTCAAACTATATCAAATTAATTCAGAAATGAAATTGGTTGACAAAAGATTGAATTTTCCTCAAGGAACCAATCACCCGATTTCCCCCAATGGCTCCGTAAAAACTAAACAAAAAGCTTCACAAAGCAAGCTCATCAAATGATAAAACTTCATAATAATTCAAGTTGTTTTCTTAGCGCAAATCAATTCGCAAAAATTATGTTGCTTTAAGCAAGCTCGTCAAGCAATGAAACGTTGCAATAATCCTAAATTTTTTTTATAGCGCAAACTATTTTGCAAGATTACAGATTTTATCAAGAAAACTTTCAAGCGAAAAAAGTTTATTTAGGATCAGTTTCCCTAATTTGTTCCAACAGCTTGCTTCATGTTGCAGCAGTATTGTATCGTGTCCCGGATCCTAAGGGGGGGGGGG